GTGTGGTTGAATTTTGGTTTTGTTATGTCGCAATTTGCTCATGTAACGACATGTAGACATCTTGCTACAAATACGTTTTCGCCCTGGATCTCTTATGGTCTTAAGACCTTCTTAGTTGTTCGTTGGTTTGTTTACTTTTTCTTTTGGCAACCCATTATAGATAACTCATGAACAACGATTTGATCATAAAATATTTTGTCAACTTGACTTGAGAGAGAACGGTGTTGTCGAAACTATTATCAAGTGAACAACTTCCCATTTCACTGAGACTCTCGAAAACACTAGTACCTTGATGACAACTACTTGCCCGCAAACAAAACCGAAATCTCCTTTGATTGCCGCAACTCCTACACATTAAATATAAACCAGGGACAACGGATATGAGACATTTTTTTTCCCTGATTTCTGTTTTGAAATAAAATGTTGTCTCGGCAGTCTGTACAGAGGCGAAAACATCAATACATTTCATTTGATTGACTTGAATTACAAACAACCGCGACGCGGCTTAAAAAGCTGGTTTAATTTTGATTTTGCAATTCTAGATGATAACACTTTTTCTGACCGAGATCAATTTAAATGGCCAGTGTTTGTTCGATTTTTCTTGACATCAGTTTCTGAAAGGTTATTCATTCAAACTCAAATTTTGGGTTTCTCGTAGAAACGTAATATTGAAACATTTCTACTTGTACTTCTGCTGTTCATTGTCTCTTAGAAGGAACTCTACAGTTCTACTTTTCAAGCTAATATATATGACAATCATCGATCACCAAGGAGTCTTTCGATGCTAAACTTCAAACCACAAGTTGAAGAGTCATCACATTTTGCATCCATAGCCATATTTTGTTCGTCAGGAAAGGTCGAGTGTCTTTGGTTTTGTAGTGGCGAAAAACAACGCTGTTTTTCGAACGAACTTTCATGACAAAGTTCATTGTCAGAAGTCTCCAATTTCTTGTCTTCTCTGTCGCGATCGTAACTCGAACTTGCACTGTTGACGGTTTTCTCGCTTTGCTCTTCTGTCTCTTCGACGTGCTCTTCTCTAGGAGAACTCGGGGAAGTGTCTTCTTCTCGTTGTCTCGCACTGACTATTTGTTTCGGCCTTCGTTTTCGCCTCCAAAATCGCCCCTCTTCAAACATCTCCTCAAAGGACGAATCCAGAGTCCAGTAGCAGCCTTTTCCAGGATCCGATTTGTCGCGGGGAACTTTCACAAAGCACTTGTTCAACGAGAGATTGTGCCGAATACTATTTTGCCAACCTCTTCTGCTCTGCTGGTAGTACGGAAAGTTCATCATAATAAACTGGTAAATCCCGCTTAGTGTAACTTTTTTCTCCGGCGAGTTCTTGATGGCCATGGATATGAGAGCAACGTAAGAGTATGGTGGTTTGGGGAGCATTTCCGCGCAACCATAAATCCCGAATCCTGAACCATAGCTCGAGTAGCTGCAACCTGAATTGTAATAGCAACAAGAACACAGGCCTTCGATCCCTTGTTGTCGAAATCTCTGCGTTGGTAGAGAGAGTTGTGTGTACGGTGAAAATCTCATTGCGGCGAATGTGTTGTACATGTTGGATTGTGTCCGATGAGCAGTGGGCTCACTGCTTATAAAGCCTTTGTTTGTAGTCGACGTAACGCCAATGCTCACCGTGGCATTCTCAGCCAACTTCAAAGCGGATATGGGTTTGGAGACGCCCTAGACCACCCAGGCTTGGATTGATTGTCCTGAGACTGGTGTCTCACTGTTTGTTTACAGTACAAGTTTAAGTGTTTTTGAGACCACACAGCTAAGTATTACTATTGTTTTAAACATGGACGGCAGTTTGAGCTCGGATTAGTGAATTTCTGATTATTTTGTTCGAATTCCAACAACTCATAGTGCTTAGAGTTTTATTTGAAAATTACGATTTCAGATAATGCAAATTATTGACATGCGATAACTTACGATGTTCAGAATAGAAAGGAAGAAACGTATGCGCGTTTGGAAGCGATCATCTGTTCGAAAATCCATTGCTCCATTATCTCTCGCCAGCAGATGGATAAATATTTACACGGGAAGTTTGTTTTAAGTCATTTGTAAGCATTTAAAGTCCGTGTTTAGTTTGGCGCCGTCAAAAATGTAAACTGTAGTAAATCTTCTTAGGGCAATCACTAGATCCATGTCTAACCGTGTGAAGATTTTGACCTATTTATTACGCAACAAAATACCACAATCTTTTTTTCCTGCCATGGTTCTTTTCGTTCTCGTCAGATTCTTTTGGTAGAAATGAGAAGTTAGGAAATGAAATCGACAATTAAATTAGCCCAATTTGCCATATTGTGATCTGTCTGATAGTATCAGTGGCCTTGTGGCGCCGCGGAGTATGCTAAAACACAGAGACATTTTTCGATGGTCACAAAGGCCTATGTTAGATGAGATTAGAATATTGCTTTGTGTATTAGTTTAAGATCTTATTGAAGCTCTGATTATGATCCTGATAAGTCGGAAGTTAATATGGCTTTTCCGAGGCGAGCCGAGTGTAGAATGCCAATGTTCTGGTTCTCGTCTTTCAAAAAAATCTTTCCTGTTATTTGGAGGTCAGGTCCACACAAAAAAAAAACATTACGTTTGTTTTTTCAACTGGATTGTATTGAAAACCGAGGAAAAGTGGACCGTGGGAACGAGGATGAGTTTAAAAAAAATTGCCTATGCTGAAAAGTAAAAAACTAGCCGGTGCGATTCTTCAGTCAACACGTTTTCAAATCTTGCCTCGGATCTGGAGTAACACCGAATTGAAAAGCGTATAATTATTCATTTTCTGTCTAGTTGAACAGCTTTTTCGTGCTGATAATCAAGAAATTTGTTTTCATAAACTCGATTTTCTTTTTTGAGGTCACGCAAAAACACGACCTTTTCGAAGTCAAGTGTTTTAATTCAACAATAAATAAACTGTCGGCAACTTTGGTTTGACTTCGGTGAGGACAGCTTTTATTGAGCTTAACAGATCGGAGAACTTCAAACGACCTTTTTGTGCCATAAATAGGATTGATTGGATCTAGTGAAGAATAATTAATTGTAAGAGAGTGAGTAATGATCGTTGAGTTTGTTTTGATTTCTTAATGTCCTCAAAACGTGTTTGAACGTGTGAAAGATGATATACCGCTTGACGCCTTTTTTACAGGCGAGTTACTTGACACTTAAAATGAACTGGTAGAAATTGTTCTTTCTAAGTTTTCGCAGTTGTTTTACTCCGTTATTTTGTTCAACTAAATTTCGTGACTTTTTGTGTTACTTTTCATTAATATTCTGTGGTACATTTTTCAAACGACGGATACACTTCGCTAAATGTTAAAATTGTTCATAAAATAAGGTCACTTGAAGTATCCTCAGAAAGGCCTATCTCATGTGCGCACCAAAAACAGCCCTCTTTGGCCCCTTCAGGCCCTTACTCAGTGATTGCGTGTGAAAAAACGGGCGAGCGACAAACAGCCATCATGGTTATCAGGGGAACGACTACGGTTTACTTTTGTTCTTTGCCTGATTCCCGCCATTTTACATGAACCCGTTTTGGGTTCGTCTGTATATGCTCCCTTTGAGACTGTAGAAAAAGAGAGTAAGACTGGGGAAAGACTTGCGAAGCAAGTGCGACAGTCTGCGCGATTCGGCTGGAATTCACTCTTCTTTCTCTACGTGCCTCACATGTGGGCTTCACGGGCTTTTGGAAAAAAAGAACTCGTTCCCAGTAGCAGTCCAGTCATGCCTTTTTATGGGCAGAGGGAAATGATACCTTTACCTCGAAATGACTGAAAAAAAAATTTGGTTGTGTCATTCTAAAGCTGAAACAGAGTGATACTAAAGCTAAAGGATGTAAGTATTGTTTTTTAAGCACGTCGATTGGCTGGTTCGGAAGTTGCGCAGGAGTAGAAAGAGAGGCTCTACTACTGTGAATATATGAAAGACATATATTTGAACTGCGGATAAAGACGTGAATATGAAAGCAATCTTCGCAGTAATCAACACCACTTGAGCAGTTGTGAAAATAAGCCACTGATTTAGTTCACGAATTCTCTGTGGAAACAGCCCAACGATTACCTTGCATGTGAGATGTTTTTATTTTTCTTGTGCCTAGTGTTCTGCTTGGAGGTAACCAATCCGAAACCATGGCAGACTGCTGTTAACAAAAACGTTAAATAACCCAATTTGTTTCGGTAAACATGATTATTCTTCGTTTAAATCCCGTGCAGGCCTAAATTTTTTTTGAGGCCTTATGTTCACTACTGCTCAAGTAATGTTCATTACTGCGAAGATCGCTTTCATATTCAAGAGACTCTACTGTGCAACACTGAGAATGATCCAAACCCGATTGGAAGAAGAGAATGGTAAGGTGAAATGGTTATAAAAACTTTTTGGTATCGAGAAGTTCTTTTGTGAGAACAATTCAGCATTGCTCAATTGAAGGTTGCCACTCACTCTTCTGTCAGGTCTTTGAAATTTCGGAATTTTCTAAGACCTGACACTTAGGGCGTCCATTGCAGTTAGCCTGCATTTTTAGTTTTTGGCTCACATTCTCGTCCCCACTTGGTCTGTCTTTGTCCTGATACTGAACGAACAAAACTGTCAGTGGACTAGATGCCTTTTAAAAGGTTTCATTTTGATTCGTTTTTCTAATAGTTTATCTTGCAATTCTTCAGGTCGTAGAGGCTAATCCCAGCAGTGATTAGTTGTAACCAACTGAGCGCCTATCACAGGCCACTTAGACAGAGGAACAAGTCGGTAGGTTGGAGAGGAATGGCCGGCTAAAGGCGTAAGGAGATGCAGAATGAGGGAAAAAGGATGGAAGCATGGGGAAAAAACTAGATGGAAAATAAATGATGAGAGAAATGTTAAACGGGAACATGAGCAAGTATATTCAATGGTTTGCTACTCTGTCTACTGTTTGGTCAACAGTGCCTTGACTCTACCCTTAATTGGTTCCATTCAGCGGGCGAAATTAGAGGAATTCAGCGAAAGAACGCTGAAATCTAGCATTAATAATGACAATCTTTAATGAGGAAACTTTTTCACTAAAAAGTGGTTTACAAAAAGGACCTCGAAAATTAAAAATTAAAAATTTACAATGAATAAAAATGCTAAAAGATGCTACTAAAAACTAATGTATCTTATGTGTAATACAAAACTTAAATCAATGAATTAAAAATCTGACGCTTCAAAATATTTACATTATCAGAGGCTCGTATAGTTTTGTCCAGCGAGTTAAAATCACTTACAGCATGATAGCCAGTTCTTTGTTTGCCCCAGTTTCTTTTAACGGATGGAATTTTGAGGTTTGCTTTATTTCTTGTGTTGTAACTATGCTGTTCTTGCTGAGTGACTAATGTTAGTTCGTGATGCGTGAGACCATTAAGACATTTATATACATGTACGCATCGGCGCTGGAAGCGCCTTTTTTCTAGTGTTAACCACTTCAGTGTAGTTAACGCATCAGACGCAGAGGAATACAGTGGTCGATCTAATATTATTTTAGCCGCCTTATTTTGAAGCACTTGCAAACTAGACATTAAAGTTACATTATGTTTGTCTCCCCAAACTAAATCAGCATACTCGAATAAGGGCATAACAAGGCTTTTATAAAAAAGGATGCGCACCTTAAACGGTAACAAATGCTTAGAGCATTCCCTCTCCGTTCAGGCTCTTTCAGCATGGAGCTCTCGTTACACCCTGGTTATAATTCATTGCTACCAATTGTGTGAATTATTTTGCACAGAGCTTAAAAAGACAGCGAGAGAACCGAACCATCCATAAGCAGTTCGCCCTGGAGCCTGGGGACAGATTTCTATAGAGGCTATATTTCGTTTAAGGTTACATGAATAATGTTAGGGAAGTGAAATCATGGCGGCTCTGGCGAGGTGTTCGTTTGGAAGGTTGCAGACAAAATGTTCCTTGATCTCGAGTTTAAGGTGTTCAAATTTACCAAAACGCTCTCAGGTGGTTAAGCCAATCCTATCCCTTGGAAGGTGTGTTCCATTTTTTTTATAAGATTGTTAATATTAACGAAATGGGATGACTATGCTGTATTATGTAATATTATTGGGGTGTTTGGGACGAAATGCGCATTTTTATCTCGTTTCTTCTTTGAATTCCGTTTCTGTTGTCTCTCGAAATGTTTGGCCTTGTAGAACCTTCGTATTGAATCTACGTGGAAGCTATTTTGAAGTATAGGCAATCACTATCCTTGCAATTCTCAACGTAAGAAGACATCTTATATTGTAATTACGCAGGATTACGCGAAGCATGAGCCGTAATTTTTTTAAATTTGGCCTGATAATAGAAATTTTGTTTGGTAAGATAATTTGTTATGTATAGCTAATGGCTACCCCGCCTCTGTAGTTATCTGGATATTTCCATCACGTCTCTGTCTTTAACTCTCTAGTTACTTGAATTCCACTCTGTATGAGTTTACTTCATATCGGGTTGTTTGGTGTTTTTTTACAGCTTACAAGTGGCACACAGGGCATATTGTAGCCCTGCTAAGGAAACTTCAGACGAAGATTTAAAAAACCAGCCAATACGTTTTTCTACTTCAAGGGCACGGAGTATAACAGTTGGTCAAACACTAGGAGAAAGAAAAAAGAGCACATCTATGGTGACAGTCTATGTGAGTCTTACAATCATGGTCATATTGACGTACATTATCTTCTTCCTGCCACCCTCTAAACAAGATGAAGAAGTATTGGATGTTCTAAATGCCAGCATGGTGGCAAATGAGCAGGACAAAGAACAATGATGTGTAAGACTAATATGAGGAACAATTTCAGAGCAAAATGCCTGCAATCCCTGGCAAATATGTTTCAAAGAAAGGTTCCCTTGGCATTGGAAATATAAATTTGTGGCAGATAAGGTCACTCTCTGAGAATTCCATTCCAATGTTCTTTTTTCAGATGGTCTGGAAAAGAAGTCATTATTAACTTTAACCAGACTTGAAATGTTCCTCTGGATCATGCAAGAGCCTCCAGGGCATTTGAGAATTTACACAATATGGAACAATAAACATATTGAAACGTTGTTGTTTGTAGAAAGAGGTTTTCTTGTCTCTCCCAGCTGATGTAATACATTTCATTGTTGGCTAGTGTTGAGAATTTGGTTTTACATTTATGCACCACTCCTAGTTGATGGTTTTCTAAATTTTCTTCACTTGTATTGCTCAGCCAAAGAAAAGGTTGCTATAAGAATCCAAACACACCTGAGTGGAATGGATAGCTCAAGCTTAAATTTGGTAGTAATAAATAATGTGCTGTCAAATCTGGTTTAACTCACCAAGAAAATACAGTAATAGTATTCAATTCCCAATTTAATTAAATACAAAACAGTATAGCTATTGTAGTTACATTTTCAACTCATATGACCTAAAGCTTTGCTGTCCCATTTATAAAAAATTGTCTACAGTACATCAGGCTCTTTTTATAATTTTTCTTATAAATGAATTTTAAAATATTTATCTTGCATTGTTCTTTCAGTTAAAGGATTGTTTTCTAGAACACCATTATGTATGTAGAATAGAAACATCCTTGAAGATATTACATAACACTCTCACTCTCATGTAACATGTAACTTCTCCTTATAATATCCATACATAAGCCAGCAAACGGGTAATGAGAATTATCAAATGTATCAGGCAGAGTTTGTTATCTTGATCTAACACCAAATTCTCATAACTCATTAAAACTCAAAGAAGTGTGTAACAGCTGGAGGGGAGAATTGAAAATCAGATCTTGGGAGAGTTAAGGGATTATGGTAAATTGAGGTGAAAATGTCAGCATAAATAAGGACATTTATGCTAAAATAAATTGTTAGGATAACTGTTTCCTTTTTCAAACAGAGAAAAAAAAAAACGAGAAGCAACAAATAAATTATTTGAAAGATTGATGAATGAAAAAAGTTATTTTACACAACAACATTTAAGGGCAAAGTGTAGTAAAAGTGTAGTTATAATTTGGAGCCAACCCTCTAGGTTTGGGTTATTTTAAATGGATTTACAACAGAGCTGAAATTAATCTGCAAGGAATTGAGACTCAGCCACTTAACTGTCTGGTTAATATACCAAATGGTTAGGGTGGGATTTTTACTGAAGGGCAGGTGTGAAATGAAATCTGCAACAAGGTAAGAATTTACTGCCAATAACAACAAATGACCTTTTATGTTTAAAACTCAACTGGGTAGAACAGGGTAATTAAGTGTTGTTAACTGAGTTGATAACGTTTATTGGCCACCATAATGAGTTAAAAAGCTGAATTTTTTAGCGTTAGCCCTTTGCTCTGACAAAGGGCTAGCACTCGAAACGTCAGCTTTTAAACTCTTTTCAGGGCCAATTTACATTATCTACTCAGTGGATAGCAATACTAAATTACTCTGTTCTACACTCCCACAGACACTGCACCACAGTTTCTTTATAAACTTGCCCCTTTATTCAACTGAGTATAATCTTGTAGTGACCAGGTATATTGCAATTTTGAAGATTACGTTATATGTTCATTTATCATTGTTTATTTTTATAGAGTTTTTTCACCTTTAGAGTATGTTCTGAATATTTTCTCTTAAACTAGAATCCTAAAAAGCAATGGAGAGTAACTGCAAGAAGGATCATCGCTTTCACACATTTTGAAGTTAGATTTATTTCTCCACATTTACCAAGAAAAGAAACTTAGATCTAACATGAGATATTTTATCAATGCTATTTTATGAAATGTAGCATGACAAAGATCGCAGAAGAGATTATATTGCACCTGCCTGTTAACAATTTCCTCTTTTTTAGCACTTAATATATTTTTTTAATTAGATCAAATCTTCTGAAAGTGAAATTTCTTACATCTCGGAAAGATTAAACTAGTCTTTTTTAAATTTGAAAGGTTATTTTAAACCGGCATTTCACTGATCTATTACCGCTCGTGATTTTGTGTGTGCGTTGATCACTTTCGAACTTAGAATAGACAGAAGCCACGTAAACAGCGAGATGAAGTTGTTTTCTCCTAACGCAAAGCTGATTGGCTGAATCTACTGACGTCATGTTGGTGTTCCATTTAGCGCCGCCATTTTGAACATGGTAGTGTTTTGGTCCTGTGAGAGTTGTCATAATCCTGTCTTTTTCCGCGGTTTTACTTGAAATATGGAGTTGACCAGGCAGGTTTTTAGTAGCAGTGACAGAAAGTCGACCGATGGATACAGCATGTACAACATAAAAGGTAGGTGGGCAAGACTTGTTTGTATTCTGTAACGGTCGTAGCTTCCTTCAAATTCCAAGCGATACCTTTGTTCACTCGATCATATGGAGCGATAAATAAATTATGACAAAGCCAAGCGAAGATCAAAAAATCTTTCCAGGCGTGAAGTATGAATTTTACGAACTTTACTAGATCGATAATATTGTAAAAATGCAGCTAAGGAGATAAATTATTGCGTAGACTGCTTGGGTGATTTTAATATTGACACTCGTTTGACAACACACACAGATTTAGCTGGACATTCGTTGTTGCCAGAGGCACCGTCAGTAATTGTTCTGTTTCACGAGAGTATTGTATTTTTTCAATAGCGGTTTCCTCAAAGTTAGGTTGTTTTGTTGTTCAACGGATTTGACTCTCGCAACAAGGAAGTACATACATGCACGTACTAAAGCACTGAGGTTTATCTCTTATTAAATTATAACTCTATTAACTAAATATTCAGTCGCTAGAGAGCTCGTGTACATGAAGGAGGCAATCTAATATTTCACTCACTGATTGAGTCATGTTATTGAAATAAAAAATAGTTTTCAATCTTTTTTAAATCGGAAACACGTGTACACCAATTCTTAGCTCAATTATCCAACTTTCAGAATCAGTAGATATCAGTTAATGTAATTATCCACACAACTATTTGTTGAGGATTCACAAAAGAATTACTATGCCTCTCCAGTAACTTCTAACTACCAATGTAAATGCAATATCACACATTCTTAAGGATAGCACTTGACTGTCAAACACGCTCAAAATATTGTCCCTCCTGATATTACATTTTCTTGTGTTATTATTGTACGATTTCACGATATGTATTAAAGTTAACATGGCAACCAGATGGATAATAAGACATGGTTTGATGCTACTCTGGTGTAAAGATTTAGTGAGTGTAATTGAATAGTTACAATTCATAGACCCGATGTTTCGACACTCCTGTTTAGTGCCTTCATGACTGTGATCATGAGTATATTGGACAGACCAAATGTCAGTTTGGTACACATTTGAAAGAGCGTAAAAAAGTGGTCTCCTTTTGCAAAAAAGAAAATACAGCTTTATCGGAGCACATATGCCTAACCAACCATACAATTGGGTGGGATAAGTCTAAAATTATCACCACTACCAGCGCCTTTGTTTGGAAGCGTGGCATATCAACTCCACCCACGCTCCTTTAAATCGTGATGATGGCAGCTTACTTCCTGACACCTATTTACACTTCATTGAAAAAAGGGCAGCTAATTAGTGAGCATAGAAAAGGACCTCTTGATGTAGTGTTTAGTTCAAGAAATTTTTTTTTGTGAAGCAGACTAGAGTTTTTGGGGTTGATGAATAAGAAAATTTTGTTGTAATCATTTGTATAAATGTAAATGGAGCATCTGGATGCCTTGGTTATTAAATTTCACTAAATATACAAATATAAATTCACAATAGAGCTGAACCCAGTGAGGGCTGGCACAATATACATGCAGCTGCTATACACTTGCAGGGTTTGAGCCAGGCC